ATTTCCAGCTGTCACAGTTTTAATATGAATCTTGTGTTTTGGCCATTTGGCATTTTACTTAAAACTCCATGTCGCAGAGTGCTGGCCTTGAGGGGGTCTACTTGAGGTCCAGCCTACCTGTGACAGCTCTGTTAAGGAAAATGAACCAACCCAGATCCACCTGTGGATAGTTAATTGTCTAAGTAGGTGGGTGGCAGTTAATTAGGTAAGGAGCACTTGAGCATAATAAAGGCTGGTGAGTGCTCAGTCAGGGGGCCCCAGAACAGAGGAAGGTCCTGAGGAGAGAGGCTCCTCAGGGGAGCTAGTTAGGAAGAGCAGAGGCTCATGGAGAGAAGGAACAGGACCAGAGAGAAAGTGCTCCCAGGCAAGGGACTGGAGCAGCCCAAAAGAACTGGGGCTCCCAAGGCTTCTGGGCTTCCTCCCAAGGGACTGGGAGTCTGGAAGACCGGAGAGCCCCAGCTCCAGGCAGGTCTTCCAGGGTTTTCAGTCTCCCAGCTCCACATCAGGGAGTCTAGAAATTCCAGCATGGTGGGGCTTCCCCAGAGCTATAGGCTCCCACAAGCCTGAGGTCCCTGGCACTGAAGCAGACCATATGGTGGGGCTGCACAGCATTCCAGCAGGCAAACTGACAGGGTTCCATCAGAACCCTGCCTGAGATTTAGCAAAAGTTTGTTGAACACAACTCACTTTTGTGAGACGTTTTGGGTTCAACGAACAGGCATTTCCTAATTAAACCTTAATTACATGAGAATCTCAGCTTTCATTTTTTTTTTTAAAGTAAATTTCTAACCTGTATGGTTAGAGATAGATGCTTGAAAATGTGACCCAAGCACTCTGTAAAGGCTCAAAAACAGAAACAAAAATAACCCCAAATTTACTATTATATTAAATCTCATGATTTTGATGATCCAGACTTATGATTTTTGAATGTTTCAGTTTGGCAATACTGATTTCCTTTTCCATAAAGCAACATGAGATTAGAAGGGGGAAAAATACTTGAAGTGAAATATCTCTCTGAACAGCTTTACTTTCTGCATTCCTCTCTTATGCCATGTGTTGCAAGAGGAATTCCTCGGGTTTTTCCTAACATTGAGGGATCCCCCTAGATTTCTCTCAGAACTCATACCCAATTACATTGATAGTCATACATAGAATCATAGGACTGGAAGGGACCTCAAGAGGTCATCTAGTCCAGTCCCCTGCACTCATGACAGGTCTAAGTATTATCTAGACCATTCCTGACAACAGTCTAACACAACAGTCATTCACACATTTCTAATAGAAAAACAAATATAAAATAATTTATATTTAATTGGTGTTTTTTCTTTTAATAGTTATTTTAGCAGAACTATTAAATTGTGCATTAATTCCTAATTCCCCCTAAGTATGGCTTCCTAGAAGGATTAGCTGTAACTGAACTAACAATGAAAAAAACTACTAAAGAGTTAAAATATTAGGGGAAAATATCCACATTTAAAATATTTCCGTAATTTTATCATCTAAATTAAGTAAACCTCTTTGGTTTGCATCTGTTCTGTGCTTTTGAATCAGAACAGATACCGGTCAAGGATGCCCCTTTTCTCTTTTAGCTCTGATATCCATTTTATAAGGTGCAGGGCAGAAAAAGGATGGAGAAAGGAAATGCAGAAATATATTTTAATAAAGAAAATAAGGAAACTGTGGTTTAAAAAATAAATATGGGACTAGATTTAGGTAGGCACAAAGAGGCAGAGAATGGGAGAGCCTTAACTCTGTGCACACCTTCAATGTGCTGGTCAGCAGAGTAGAAGCTAGAAAGGATGGAAAGAAGGACTCTACACCGTGTAAAGGGCTGTAGCAGATTATTTCCCTCTTTGGAGCAAAGAGTGGAGAAGATTAGGAATTATGACTCTTAATCCAAGTTATTTCCCTGGGCTTCTCCAGAGACAGTGCAGCTATGCCCCTTAGACAAGGATGTGCCTAAACTACAGTCTAACTTGAGTAGTGAAATCAAAAATAATCAATGGTCAGTCAGATGAGACAGGCCCACATAGCAGTCACCCATATAAAACATCCTCATACTATTACCTTGAACCTGGGAGTTCTTCCTGCCCCGGCTTAGGCTTAGTGGATATGGGAAGAGGATCAGTCTTCTCTCTTATTGTCCTTATGAAAATAAAGATGTCCGCACTTAACCAAGTTCCATGTCATATATTTTCTGTGATGCAGAGTAAACATCTCAGCCCTAAAATTTACTGGAAGAGGAAGAGTATATGTGGAATGCAGTAGAAAGACATTTTGTATGTGAAATGAATAATTACCTGTGATACAGGAAGGACTCTACCCTTTATACATAAGGGAATCCTCAATTACTGTATTTGAAATTCCAGATGTCTTACACATCCACAAAATCCTTCCAAAGATTATTGGGCCCCTGTGTAATTCTGATGTCTAAGAAACCACTATTCATGTGCAGTGGTTGAATATGGGGCTGGTGAATAGTTCTGCACTTAAATCCCTAACTTGTCAATATAAAGATGTTTGTTTCCATTTGGATAATACAAACTCTTCTATATGGATGTGATAAACTGAATGAATGACTAGCATATCTGAAAGACACAAGGAGATTCTTGTTTATAACTCAACAAGATCAGAAAATATGCTTTTAAAATACAGATTGTCAATGACAGTGGCATAAACCAAACATGGTTTTTGCATTCACTAAGCCTAAATTGAACAACTTCCTAAATTTAACTGTGAGGGGGCAGCAGATTCAAAATGCTGTGATGCTTGCCCCTGAAAAATAGTACTTATGTTGAAGTATAACTTCTACCTTGTCACAACTAGAACATTTATAACATTTTCTAGATGTTCAGGTGCAACAAATAAGCTGTTAGAAAGGAGGTGTAATTTTAGCATTAACCTTGTAACAAGATACAATCTCTCCACTATTGAATGCCTAATAAACTGTGTCTCACAATGAGAAACTTCTATATCATGCTACACTGATGCTAGATAAATGCAGAAGAATTTAATATATATATATAAATATATATATATATATTACTGCTGATCAAGCCATGTAGGAGAATTAAACACAGTCACAGGGATAGATTTTAAAATCACTAAGAACTAAATAAATAAAAAAGAGAGTGGAGGAAAGCGAAGAAAGAGACTTATCTAAACTCTTTTCAAAATACCAAGCATTCTTTTGGGTCCAGTACAGTATTAAGTGACCTCATGCCCTATTAACTTCCTTACTTTTACATTCCTGTCCTTTTGTCTTTTAACATAAATGGTGCTGTGAAAAAGGCAAATGAAACAAAGAAGCTCAAGGATACCTTGCTAAATATCCCCAGAGCCAGAAATTTGGGTTCCCCAAAACTCGAGCAATATCAGCAGACCCAAAACTTACTGGAAATGTGGTTCAAACTACACCTTAGCTATAGAGCAGGGAGTGTGGGCCAGAAAGGTGACCGCTGGATGCCCAGGAAAGTGTTAAACAAAGGGTGGCACACAAGAGCCAGTCAGTTCACTCAATCTCTCCCCCCACCCCACTGATTAGGCCAATGAGTGGTAGATGGAGTTAGAGAAAGCTATCCCCTTCACAGGCATGTTTTCTTGCACTTGGAATGGACAACAGAAGGAGAAAATGTCCCCGCACAGCCAATCTTATATTCTCCCCTCACGACCAAGGAAAGGCCATCCACCTGCTGCTCCAATCAAATTTCCTTGCTGCTGAGAATGGAGAAGACATTTTCATTCTAATTAAAAATATATATATATCTTTAAAAAAACAATAAAAAATTAGGACAGAGAGTTAATGCTGCAAGAGAAAGGGAAATGTTTAAGAGTGTTTAATGTATCATTTTTCTCCACTCTCTGAATTGACTCCATTACTGTTTGATTTGATCTGTGATCATCATATTAATGGTTGACTACTTTTTACAGTAATTACATTTATTATTTGCAGAGTTGCTGCAAACTACTTTATATAAACTGTGTAGTAATTACTTAACTTGATTAGAAACAGTTACAACTATTGCTACCATTGTCATGTTGTCTCCTGTTACCCATAGGCCTGATTCAGTAAAAATAGTAAGTCTGACTTCCTTGCTATACAAACCGTATAAACTCCAATTTTTGAGTTGTGCATTCCAAATCAACCTTTTTTTTTCCACTTTGTAATTAACATAGGGCACCACTCCGTTAGAATCTAAGATAGAGAAGAAGTAAATATAGCAATTATCATATAGAATAATGGAATAAAAAGTAAGATCTCAATTTCCATCCAGTTGGTTTCCAGGCTATCTGGACAACAAGATATTTCTGTGAATAACTAGCAAAGTGTGCAGTCTGGCTTCCATGGCTTTGCATGCTTCCTAATAATATAGTTGTTGACAGATTTTGAAGAATATATTTTATTTTTCAGTGGGTTTTAAATTGCACCAATTTTTAGCAATGTGAGCTCATGTACATTCAATATAAAATATTAGCTAGCAAAGAGAAAACTTGCTAAAAAGTCAATGAAAAACATCTCTATCTCCTGAAAAAGAATCTCATTCACCCATTAAAGCCACCCGCTCAATCAAAAGCCTGAACGAATAGATGAACCTTTCATCGTTCTCTGAAGGTCAATAAACTGAGCTTTGTCAGAACAATGGGGAAGAAGCTAAATCTAGAGTTAAAGGCCACCCACTGAGAACACCTTTCCTTTCCACCATGCAACTCTAGTTACTGTGAGCAAGAGTGTTTTAGTTGATTTCAGTTGTTGAGATGATACATAAAAGAGAGGTAGTTATGATAGCCATGACCCAAACCAAGCCAGTCTATATAGATCAAATCCACCCGTTCAGCTGAATGGAAAAACAAATACCCAGAAATAAATTGGTAGGCAGTGCAATCTACAAAGCATGGGTGTGATACAAATCTCTGCTGAGTTAATGAGCCTTCTCATTCTGTTCTACGCGTGTTCAAAGGTAATCCTGTCTGGTGGTGACAAAATCAACAGATAACTGTGACAAAGTTTACATCTGAGAAGAAATGTCACAACTTCCTAAGTCAGATACAGATGGGCATGGGAGGAGAAAGTGATCATATTCTTCTGTTACCCATATTTTGCATTCCTTTCCTGCAAGCCAACAACAAATTATGATGGAAATTTCTGTACTTTCTTGCAAAATGTATGAATGAAGGACAATACTTGACAACACTCTCTCTTATCATCTATAACTTTTATGGGACAAACACAGACACTGTAGTCACACAGTCCTGACCGCAAATATATAAATGCAACATATAAGAGATGTCGGTCCTTATTTCAGGCTGTATCCCTACTATGCTCAGCATGACTCACAACTGGGGGAAAAGACAACGGTGGCTTGAAGCCATCTTTACAACTCTCCAATAATGGGGTTAATCCGAGTCTAGGACAGTCCCAGTCATATATTAGAGAAGCCTGAAGGATTCTCTGAATTATTCCGATGACCCCAAGAGAGACTGATGATGCTGAGACATAGGAACACCCCTTTCTCCTAGTCAGGCCCTCCAGTCTCCTTCCCCTAACAGGGTAGGGAGAAAGGCTAGCAAAGGAACTGCTATGATGACACTACACTACTCGGGGATTCATCCATTCAGAGTGAATCTTCAAGGGACCAGTTCTATTGCCTTTTTGGCTGATTGGCGAGACAGAGCAACTTGAGCAACTTGGTTTTTTTTAGAGTGGTTATTCATCCAAAGAATTGGTTTTTTGCCCATTCAAGCTACATTTTAAAGAAGGTAAATTTTGTTAATTAAACAATGCTAGTTAATAGATGGCTGAAACTATTAAAGTTTGTCTTTGCTGATTGAAGTTAGTGGGCCAGATTCTGCCCTAACTTTAAACCTGTTGCAATTTCATTGATTTCAGTTTGGTCACATGAGTTTGATTTGATTTTCATTTAAAAAGAAAATTAATGCTTGTATCCTTAGTGCAATCGGATATATTTTTCTATTTCCATTTCATGGTTGGTTAAGAAGTACTTCTGAAGAACTGAGTGAACTTTGAATCCATTGAGTCATGTCTGTGTAACAAGAAATTGATTCTACAGACAGTGAAAATCTCCTTTAAAACTTACTTTAATAGTTGTTTTTCAAACAAGAGTTACCAGTCAGTCTTTGTAGTTTGCCCTCTTTGAACCTTGAACAAGTGTTTTAAGAAGAAGCATAATAATATTAAAATTGGTGACCTTTTTTTTAATTGACTGTTTGTAGCACAAGAGAAAAGCAGCTAAATTAATTGGGTGCCGATAGAGGAAAAATGAAATTGTTTTACTACTATGTCGATTGTGCTGGAAAAACAGCATCACCTTTATTGTTGGCATTAATCCATTAATAACACTGAGCTCATTATATGAAACTCTTACTTTGTTATATTAGTGGGGCTCTCTTTCATTTTATAGCTGGCTTAAGTCCTGCTGAGATTCAGCAGTTATGGAAAGAAGTGACTGGAGTTCACAGTATGGAAGACAATGGCATTAAACATGGAGGGCTAGACCTCTCTACTAACAATTCCTCCTCTACTACCTCCTCCACCACTTCCAAAGCATCACCACCAATAACTCATCATTCCATAGTGAATGGACAGTCTTCAGTTCTAAATGCAAGGCGAGACAGGTAATTCTGATGAGATTCCTACTGTGCTTATCATCTGACATAAAACTTTGCTTTTGTTACAGTTATGATCATACAATAAAGACAGACATCGTTATTTCACATCATGAGTTGTATTATTTGAAATCATAAGTTTCTTTACTAAAAATCAGAAAAAATACAGAACGTTGAAGGTTGATTAAATAATCATAATTTTTCCAATATGTTAAATCACATAGCATGATTTTCACCAAATGCCTCTAATTTTGCAAGTGCAACTTTGAGTACACAAATAATGTGCCTTCAGTTTTGCACCCACAGTGAACTTTTGGTACCACTGGTGACAGTTAGACATCCAACTGGTAGTTTGCATGTGCTGGCTGGTATTTGTAGATGCAAATTTGTAGATGCTTTGCTGGCAAACAACTACATTCACAGAATTAGAAGCCATGTTGAGGCCTACAGTATTAAATCCGTCTAGTCACAGAAAGTGTAAGCAGGATATCTAACAGATTGAAGGTGTAATTCAGCTTAAAAAGTCCATACACACTATTGCATAGTTAAATTTGTGCTGTTTTAAAAAATATATATTTGAAACTTTTGAGGAAAGCACTAAAGAAGAAATAACACTAAAGGCCAAATTTTGCACTTATGTGCACTGAAGTAATTCCATTGACTTAATTCATTGGAATCATTCCAGTATTACTGTAAATTGTGACACTGTAATACAGCAGAATTTGGCTCTAAGTGTTAATATTATAAATATGCCTTTTCAGGCTCAGTGTACAGATATTCTTGACTCCTCCTTGTTACCTTTCAGCACTTAAAATGACTGATACTGATGATCTCTTATGTAAGGTAAATTTAAACTTGGCTATAACGAATTCTAAATAGTAAACGATTGTATGTTCAAAGGAACATCCCCATTCATTATTGTAACATTTAAAATAGGAGATTATAATTTGATAATGTCCAGGGTCTTCATTTGAGTATCAGAGCAGTTTTCTGTTAACTTTATTATTTCAAAAATGGAACATCTCTGGATACTTTTATGCTGTTATTTTAATTAAGAGTAATGTGATGATTATATGTTGGAGAAGTTGGTGTATTCCTTTGGAATCTGTAGCTCAGGGGTCGGCAACCTTTCAGAAGTGGTGTGCCGAGTCTTCATATATTAACTCTAATTTAAGGTTTCGCGTGCCAGTAATACATTTTAACATTTTTAGAAGGTCTCCTTCTATAAGTCTATAATATAGAACTAAACTATTGTTGTATGTAAAGTAAATAAGGTTTTTAAAATGTTTAAGAAGCTTCATTTAAAATTAAATTAAAATGCAGAGCACCCAAGGACCAGTGAGCAGGATCTGGGCGGTGTGAGTGCCACTGAAAATCAGCTCGCGTGCTGCCTTCGGCACCCGTGCCATAGGTTGCCTACCCCTGCTGTAGCTAATACTCATCTCTGTGAAGGGAAAAGAAATAAAACCTCTTTAATGATTCCATAAGGATAAAACTATTGCAGACTTTTATAAAAAATGAAATGGAATATGGGCTTGTTTTCATGAAACCTAGAGCTGCTAATGGAAACAATGATTGTAAAGGGAAATATTTATTAATGTAAGTCACCTTAATATATAAACCCCCAGAAAATATAAAAGATTGTACAGTAACATTCACATTATTCATAAGTTCCTGCTGTCCATCTTAAATATTTCTTTTCAGAATTGATCATTTCTGAGTGTATTTTTTATTTATAGGTAAAATGTTACGCTGAGGTCATATGGCAGAATTAGCATATGATATTATACAGTCATCTTATTTTTTCATCCTTTATTAACAGTCATCTTTGGCTCTATTTCTTCTCTAATTGGAACATCATCTAGCCTTGGCAGTTGAACTATTCAATAGAACGATTAAATTTTTCTGACTGCTCTGAGCTGAATTGACCTGTTTTGACCTGTTTGTCACTGATCGTAACCTGACAGGCGCTAGCAGCCTCCAACGATTATGGCTTTTGAGATTAATCTGATGCCGTATTCTTTTGCTACAGCTCGTCACACGAGGAGACTGGGGCCTCTCATACTCTCTATGGCCATGGAGTTTGCAAATGGCCTGGCTGTGAAAGCATTTGTGAAGATTTTGGACAGTTTTTAAAGTAGGTTGATTTTTATTCATTGGATAAAGGGGCTGTTTAAGACTAAGGAAGGATAAAGATGGCTAGGAAAGTTCTACTGTAAAGCATATCAGAGTTCATGTGTACAGTCCGAGCAACTGGATAATCAAGGCCATCTGCAGACGGTCAAATTGTTATCCTTTTTTTCATGTAGAACACTTTTGCAGGTCTTTCAAACGCACAGTGTTTAATCCTATTATTATCCCTTTATTGAAATGGAGTCTTGGAAAATTTGAAGAGATGCTTTGGTTTTATGTTTGATAGCAGAAGTATGTAAAAATACATTGTAAATTCTGATAGTTTGAGTAAAGCATATAGGTACATATAATGTGTGCATCTGTGTGCAAACAGGATTTATGTGTGTGCAATATATAACAATGCACACACCATTTTAATGTACCAGATGTGGCCATTTAACCCTTCGTTGGTAACTTTAGCCTTGCCTTTTCTCTTACATGTGCATAAGATTGATACAACTAAAAACACTTGAAGGGGTGGGTTTACACCTTTCAGTATTAATCATTAATGAAAAAAACTTTCCAGTTGCAGTTGTTAGTTTTCTAAATAGCTGCCTAAGTCTAAATGTTTAGAAAATAGATTACGTAGCTCTCTAACAGCTTAAAAGTACAATAGGTTTTTTTTCCAATTTATCAATTTCTTGGCAATTCTGTGTTCCAGGGTATTTGCCACAGAAATGCTGAGCCACTACTTGTATTATGTTGATAGTGTGGACTGGGTTTTGTCAGAATAACCATATTGTTTTTGGCATGCAACCAATCTTAATAGAAAACTACAGATAGCTTTATATAGATGAGTAACTTCATGGGCTGAGACTCTTACGTTGTCATGGTGCAGCTAACAGGGTGAATGAACTGTTTCATGCTTCATCAACAATTAAGTTAATTAGCTCATTTGAAATTGCACTGCTTTGTTGCCGGGATGTTGGCAGAAACATCAAAACGATGTGTTTACAAATCGTAGACTACAGGGTATATAGCAAAAGCACCTTAACAACAAGGCACAAGAACTCAGTATCATAATAACTTTATAGCAGAATTACAGTGATAATTTTTGCAATGTATTTTAACTCCTTCCTCCATTTTTCTTACAGTTTTGCAGTTTCAGGGGAATAACTGTTATTAACTTCTAAAGCTTACTTTATATTTTCTCTCACTCTTGGTGAATGACTATTTGTGAATACTTTACAGTGTAATTTCAAAAGCATTTTGTGCTATTATATAAAAATGATTTTGCTTTATACCGTATCTGTTTGTAGATTAAAGAAGTTACTCATTGTGAAGGATTTTTTTAAACTACTGTTAGTGATTCCATGAGAAAAATAACTATATACTGCACATATTGTTGTAAGCGTTATTGATACTAAGAATTTTAGGCAACTTAACTCAAGCCTTTTCCTCTCCAGGAAAAACTAATTTTTATAAATACTTCCATCCTTCCAGGATATAGTGATGTTAATTCTTGGGCACCCCTTTCACAGTCCTTCAGTTAGGTCTCTTGTTATAATCCACAGTCACTAAAACTATTTTGATTAACACTGTATAGTGCTGGGTTACAATTGCTCCCGGAAGATGTAGAAGAGACTCATAGCTTCCTGATCATTCTTGTGTAGAGCCAATCAGAGTTTACAGCAGTTCCATCATTTCATCCCATACTCCAAGAGAAAAAACATTGGAGAACAATTTATTATTTTATTTTTCCATTGAATTATAACTTTTGCTCTTCTAAAACAAATAAGAAATTGTAATTGAGGAATAGATGCAGTTATTTGTGAAATTGAAATATTCAAACATTTTGCATTAGTATTAAAATGTGAATCAATATGTCACCTGGTATTAGTTCCCTTAGTACCTTTCCATGTTCACACTAATGCAAAATCCCCATTACAATTAAAAAACATTTTATTTCAATTAAATATCAACTTTTAGTCCAAAGATTGACCATTTTTCCGACCCATTAACTTTATAGGGGATGACAGGACTAATGGCTGTAGTTATCAAGGCCTCGCTCTTAGTGTAATCTTCGTTACAACATTGTAGGTTCTCTGACTTGAAACAGTATGATACCTGTGTTAATAGAGTTAATGCAAGTATACTGTACTAAAATGAAATATAGATAGAGCACACTATCCCAACAAGTAGTGTGTATTTCTATAATATGCTTATGCCAAGTTTGAAGAGCTCCTGGTTTATGAAGTGAACTCTAACTTCTTGTGCTCCGAACACAGTTCACCTAGAAGCTTGTGGGTTTAAAAAAAAACAGCTGTGCAGAGGCATCTGAGAAGGAGGATTAAGACAGAAAACACAGTGGCTTTGCTTCACTTTTGTAATAATGGAAAGGATTTGGGGTGAAGTGAAGAATAACTTACAGTAAATGACTGATAGTGATGAAAGGTTTTTACACCTTCATTTTTGTTATCCAGTATTCAGTGTTTTCATCTTTAAAGTAATTTAAGATAATTATCTTTCTTGTTTTTGTTGAGATATTCAGATGCTGAAAGAAGTTAGAGTTTGCATGCAGTGGAACAGATGAATAATATTTGTAACATTTATGCTATACATATTGGGAAACATAATATCGTATCTTTCCTTTGATATCCTTTAACTCTGGACACCAAACCATGGTTTATATTTTATGGAGCAATTTTCAGTCTTGATGACATGGTGTTAGATTACAATTGTTCATGTGCACACAATCAGTTCTACTGACTATTCTGCAAAAACAACTGCTTTTAGCTCAAAATGTAAAGACAGATGAGAAAAGATTATTACATAACTGCAAAGAAGACGACAAGAGTTAAACAAAATACTAGACATCGAAGAGAGGAGATTAAAAGAGTGCCAAAAATGTTTATGAAAATTTTGGAATTTTACTATAAAACAGGTGTTGACAGAAGCTAACCATTTTTCTGGTCACTAAGTGAGGAGCTCAGAAGATCACTAAAAGCATTTAATAGTAGTTCTTCATTACTGTCTTATAAATGTCAGAATGTAATAACATATGACAAAACTTCACTGTATTTTGTCTGCAAAATTAATTATCATTCCATTGGTCCTAAGTCAGTTTGAGTGTAGATGGATTTGACTTTTAGAGCTTAAACCAAAAGGTTTACAATATAACATTCCAGCCAGCAGACAAGTGTTCTTTAACCTGCATGCAGCAGACGCCAGCAAACAAAACACAATCTACAGTACAAAGACGGGTAATGTTTTCCTCTATAGAGACAGAATTGTTAGTGTCGGGAAAAAATCATGCTATAGAAGATAGACCAGCTTACCAACAGGAGAGATTACATTTTTTATCAGAAACATGTGAGCACATTTAAAAGTCTACAAAGAATATTGACCAAACATCATGGAAAGAGTAATAAAAATAAAAGCATGAGAAGAAACTGTTTGTTTAGTGATACGCAGTGCAGAACTTCATATGATTTTTTGTCTTGCAGCTGCACAGTGATATATCAAATTATGCTCTTTCTTACGTAGTGTGTATTGTCTATTTCTTTGTCTTTGACTAGGCAGCAAGGCTACAAAATTATGACCTCAAGAAGGCATTCTTTGAACTTGTCAGAATGTTGTTTCTTTTGGTGACAGTGCCACGATCTCTCAAAACTAAGGCATCTGACATAATCAGCTAAATGAATAGTGACAGCTAACATTTTGTATTTAAACTCCTGTCAGTGTTTAAACATAAAAAGCTTGAT